TGTTGGCTGTATAGAAGCAGTAATTATATTATTTTTATATACAAAGAGCATTTGGTCATGTCACTCATGTGACATATGGCATATTAAAATTTAATAGTGGTAACCCATGCAGAATTTCAACCCCAAAAATTTGTGTGTGAGTTGATAATTCATAATTTGATACATGAACAAAATAGATAGATAATTAATTTTATATGTAGATAGATATGATGCACAAGTTAATGATCATTTATGAATATCAGAAAAAATTATTTAAAATGGTTTCACAACATGAAGGACCAGCCCATAAATGGGTAAGCAAGAGGTATTTATGATTTTAATGCTTAACATTTGCTGAGGTCTGAGGTTTGATCTGTCAGTGGTAGAACAATGCGACACTTCTGCGCCAATCCAACTCTTGTGTTGGTTTGAACAGCCTTGTGACGAAATTGTTAAATTTCAAATATTTCATTTTATGAGTGAGATCATCAATCAACATAGGAGCTGTAAGAAGAAATTCGTTGTTTGATGTAAAAGAATATTTATAATTTAAAATAAATGCAATACTTGATTTTCAGAAATATGATGCAGAAATTGATTTGTATTAGAATTCAATTGATGTGACACTTTCAGAATTAAATTGAAAAAGTTGGTACCTATTTAGAATTTATTATTTTACAAATTGCTAAAACACAGCACACAAATTACAGATCACCTATGATTATGAATTCAAGTCCTATGGGCTATTACTGGGAAATATTCCAAAATTTATTGTAGGCAGGGTTGGCAATGATTAAATCAAAATGATTAAATCATGTGATTAAATCACTTGATTTTTTTATAAAAAAATCATGATTTTTTTGATTTTTTCAATTTTTTTGATTTATTTGATTTTTTCATATATTTAAATATATTGAGTGGCAATCTTTAATTTATATTGAGGTATTGTTATTCATGGTTTAGCATAAATGTACTATGAATGACAAATTGGTATATAAACTTGTTGCCTTTAGTGTGTATTAGGTTCAAATAAATTGAATGTTTTTGGTAAAGTCAAATAGTTAAAGACTACTTATAGCCTTATAAGAATTAGCTGAGCTGCTAGCTACATACAATGTATTGCACACTTGATGCCTCTGTACCAAAAACATTCAATTTATTGGAACCTAATACACACTAAAGGCAACAAGTTTATACACCAATTTGTCATTCATAGTACATTTATACTAAACCATGAATAACAATACCTCAATATAAATTGAAGACTGCCACTCAATATATTTAAATTTATGAAAAAATCAAAAAAATCAAAAAAATCGAAAAAATAAAAAAAATCATGATTTTTTTATAAATAAACAAGTGATTTAATCACATGATTTAATCATTTTAATTTAATCATTGCCAACCCTGCATAAGCGTGATATAAGCTTATCAATCTTTTGATAAATGAAGTTTATTTAAGTTCTATTGACCATAATGGGTAGAACAATGCAATATATTAGCACTATCCAACATTGGTTGACGGCTTTGGCTTGATACCGCTATTGCGGTAGACACATCATCCAAAAATTTCAATGCAAAGATTTTTATTTAAAGGGTAATAAATCTATTCATAATTGTTTAATCCCTCTTATAGATATAAGTGAAAATCATTCAATTTTTTTAAATCAACCAAATCAATGTAACGAAATAATTTGTTTAAATTTTAGGCTCCCGAAAATATCTCAAACCTGCATCAGAAATTGAATCATTCTCTTGCACTGAATATACTAATGATAGTCTGATACCAACAACCATGAATCCATGATCATTCCACTAGATTATGCACTGGGAATGAAGCTATATTAGTTGCATGCAGGCTTTCGTTGTGATATGTAGTCTTGCTACTCTGAATTGCACATCATGGAAAACTCAGCTTGGCAGCGTAGTTATAATTGCTTAATGAAGTTAAGTTCCTTCCAGCCATCTTATGAGACAAATCTTCAACTAACTAATTCTTTTTATAACTCTAATTTTAATTGTTGAGTGAAAGCTGCAGGCATGCAGCTTGCATGATATCATGCTTAAAATATCACGTTTGTTTAATAGTACAATAAATTTTGAAATCTTTGCCAGTCATGGGACTAGAATTCATACTCATAGGTGATCTTGAATTTGTGCACTGCATTTATGCAATTTGTAAAATTATAAATTCTATTTATAAATAAAAATTATAAATTATATAAGGTTCCAACTTTTTCAAGTTATTTTTGAAAGCACCATGTCAATTGAATTCTAATATGGATCATTAAATTTTCATTGTATTTCTGAAAATCAAGTATTGCAGTTCTTTTAAATTGATAATTTTCTTTTATATCCAAATCAACTAATTTTTTATTACAACTCCTGTGATTAATGATCTCACTTGAATAACTAAATATTTTAAATTTAACAATTTTCTCATTTTGAAGACTCCATTGATTATGGAAGTTCAGTTTTCACAAGTGTTTTCAAGAACAGTTTCTAAAATAGTAGAGACATTTCCTTTACCATGTATAAACAGGGTTTGTAAAATACTAGCCAAATTAAATTTAGGATGTTAGGACAACAATTTTACCTTGGTTCCCATGCTGCTTATTTGTACCAGCAGCAGCAGCTGTAGAAATATGTGCCCAGGCGTTCAAAGTTCAAACCAACCCAAGTGTTGTGTGGCCGCAGAAGTGTTGCATTGTTCTGCCACTGACTGGTCAATATAACCTCGGCAAACATTGAGTATTAAAATCACAAATACCTCTTGCTTACTCATTTAGGGGCTAGTCCTCTAATTTGTGGAAACATTTTGAATTATTTTTATCATATTTGTAACTTATAATTAACTTTTGCATTGTATTTATCCATATTTGGTATATAATTAATTATCTATCTTTTTTGTTCATGTATCACATGTGACATGGCTATATGCTCCTTTATTTACAAAAATTGAATGATTTCAGCCTCTAAACAACCAAAACTTTCTAAAAGACATGAGAAGTTTGAAAACTTGCATTGGGAGACAAAATCATTCAGAATATGAAGTGAAGTTATTTAGACAATATCGACAAAATAAGGCAAAAATGTGAACATTCCTATCTGAACGCATATCAATAGGCATTTAAATTTTGAAACCACTCTCCATCATTTAAATTTCAGTGTAGAATGTGGATCAAATCTATTTTAAAATCAAACTTTACATTACCAAAACAGGGTGTGTGACACCATCTTGTCACATGTTTACATGGCAGCACGATGTGCCCATATGCCGTGGAAAATTTGCAATTTATCCCATCATTTTGCGTGGTTTAAAAAACTTTGCTGGTGTTGGTAAAATTGTGAAATTTTTCTGGGAAAGTTGATGTAATTTGCTTCATTTCAGAACTTTTTCATAGCAAAAGTTTGTCAGATACAGATAAATGGCTAGTGAAAGCAATCAAGTAAGGGGTTGCCGACCCTGTATCAAATTCTGAACCACGATCATTGTCGGAAGCGTGGCAGTTTCTGACTAGCTAGAAAAGACTAGAAATACTACTTTTAGTACTTTATACTGATGATGCAGTAATAGTGAGTGAAAATGGGATTGAATTTCATAGTGTGCATGACTGTATAACAGAGTATGGCAAGGATTTTAATATGTGCTTTAGTCCAGAGAAGAGTCAGGTGCTAGTTGTGAACAGAGCAGCTGAGGATGTGGAGAGAGTGTGGCAGCTGGGGGAAGTGTGATTGGGAGGAAATATGAGTACAGATACTTGGGAATGAGTGTTGACCAAAAAGGATGTGAGAGAACTAAAGCAATGAGCCTTAGCAAAGCAAATCAGTGGTTAGGAATACTGGGCAGTGCAGCAAGAGTGAGGGCAAGTAAATATGATATTGTAAGAGAAGTATGGAAAAATGTAGTGGTTCCTGGGATTATGTATGGAATGGACATTATTGCATGAAATGATGGTGAATTGGATAAATTGCTGGTTGTACAGAATAAGCAAGACTGGCACCTGGGACCCCCAGGTGGACTGCAGTGGAGGCTTTTAACAGAAGTTATGGGATAGAGTATGTTTAGAGAGAGAATGAAAGCAGCATTGAGATATAAAGTATGACTGGAAAGAATGGATGATGTAAGTAGCACATAAGATGTACCTGTGGAACTTGAGTGAGCAAATGGGAATGTGTCATGCTATACTATGCAGGTGTGAGTGCTTACATGGGCTTAGCCCTGGGCAGAATAGACCAAGAGAGGAATTGTTGATGACCGTACAGGGTGTAACAGGGGTACAGGGTGTAACAGGGAGCAAATGGGATGTCAAAGAATTGAAAATATAAGAGTGAAATTTTGTGGTTTAAAGGGAGAATGTCGGTCTGAAATAAAAAATAAGGACTTTCTTAGTTTCAAGCCTCATTGTTTGAAGATGGATGAGACAAGATGGATTTCAAAACTTAAGTCATGTTTGTGTGTTCATTAGTACATTCACAACAGCCATCAAAGTGCAAGTAAAACCTATACCTTCAATGATCACAAATTTCACTTCTTTGGCTCTCCTGAAAAGTAGGAATTTTCATCTTAAAAGCCTATCTCCTCCTATGATTTTCAAGCTACAGCATTGAGAGATATACCATTTGATTTGCAAGAAAAATCTCTGAGAGATTGTCTGGTCTTTTTTTTTGGGGGGGGGGAATTGATTAGATACTGACAAAAGGTAGGGGGAAGGGTCAAAATTGAAACAAAATCAGAAAAAAATGAAAAAAAATGACTGGATGATCTTTAGATATGGTTGTTAGGCATCAAATGATACGTCTCTCAATGTTGTAGCTTGAAAACCCTAAGAGATAGATTTTTACAGCACCCCTTTCTTATGCTGTTTTCTAGGAATTTCTTGTTTTCTTTCATTTAAAATTTACATGAGCAAAAAGTTGTTGATTAATATTTTACATATGTGTACCAAGTTTCATAATGATCCATCCATAAATAAAGGTTTGTTTTTTGACTGACATGCTCCCCTTAAGAGCATGTAGAGATGGAAGCAAAGAATAGAAAGAAAGGACAGCCTGAGATTGTACAAGATGAAAGAGATGCCAAAGTATGAGTGCATATATGATGGCAGTAGAGGCGGGAAACTAATGATCTGTGTGAGAGCAAATGAATTGAGTGTGAATGCACGGACATACAGGTGGAATGAAAGAAGAGAGCATATTTGCTTTATTGGTGACAGAGGGGATAGAGAAAACGTGGAGCACCTGCTGGAGTGAGATGCATATGAGAGGGAGAGACTGAAAATAATGAGTGATGCTGGATGAGAGGGGTGAGAGTGATGGTGTGATTTATGTGCAAACAAGAGACAAATGGATTGAAATATTAGTGGGTCTGTCAACAGGGGTGACTGTTGACAGGGGTCTGTCAACAACTGAGATTCAAAAGCAATATTTTGATTAGAAGCAATTTTGGTACAGTACATGGAGAATGAGGGAGAGGAGGAGGTTGCTGAGAATGGAGGCTGGAAGAGTGTGAGGGAAAAAGCAATAATAAATAAGAATCACTATGAATAGTAATTTAATAGAACATAAACAATCATTCAGGGCCTTAGAGGCCCTATGTCTAATATAGAGAGGCCCCATGTCCTTGTTTTTTATCTCAACCTTAACACAAACTTTCACACCTCTCTAGCCTCTGCTTTAATATTGCTTCAACCTGACATGGTCTCCCTTTCCTCTCCTACTAACAAAACTAACATGTGATGTGTGGCTGATGACCGTTGTAAAGGCCTGACTCCAGAATGTTTTTTTTTTCAGAGTCACCATGCCCCAAATCCAAATATACATATGACATTATGATTATAGTACAGGATTTACAGAATATTTTTGGGAGTGGAGGGACTAAATGATCCTGAAAAGTTTGTTTGATTTTACATCAATGCCAATAACCTTGCTAGTAGCCCAACTGGAAATTTCACTTGCCTGTGCCTAACAGACTAATAATTTTCCCATTGTCAACAGAATTGGGATTTAGCCTACAGTGATGGATTTATGATAAATATTTATGTTGCGCTGTGAAATTGATAAATTCTCCATACATTCACTTTATTCCTTCACTAAGAAAGTTTTGACACGTTCTTGTAAATTTTGTACATACTGTCTTTACTACCTATGTAATACAGCAATCCCTTGATTAACGCGGTTAATAAATCCCCGAGTTTTACCGTGTTAAGCAAAACCGCGCTAATCAATCTTAAGAATATATGGAAATAATTATAATGAATCCTCAAAAATAGCAAAGTTACATAATAATTTTTTTTTTCTACTAAAATTCATCATATTTTTTCATCTAGGTCTTCACCGATCTTCGTTTTTGTTTCACCATTATCAAAATGCTTAATTATTTCAAGCTTAGTCTCCAAAGTGATATTTTTATGTTTAAGCGTTCCCTTTTTGTCCATAATTATGATGGTAATATATATATATAATGACGGTATAAACCGACTCTGTAGTACACCGCGTAGATTAAGGGTAGGTCGCAAATTTTTTTTCCGCGTTAATCAAAACTGCGGTATTCAAAACCGTGCTAATCAAGGGATTGCTGTACTTAAATATTGCTAACTCCATACAGCTGCCATGTAATTGACAGCTTGGTTGACACTTCATTGTTTTTTAAAATCATGGAGATGTGGCCATGTCCTATTTGGTGGTGAGGTCCAGTTGACTGTTACTCCTTGCTTCCCACTTCAAGCTATGTAGATACAGATGTAAATTCCTTACCTCGCCTGACCAAGTTAAACAAATAATTAAATTAATATTGAAGGCATTCTGCAGAATTAGCTGCATTTTTTTACTTGAAGAGTATTTGACAGATTTTGAACAGGCATTCTAATCTGTCTAATTCAGTTTCTTCCAGTTAGGGCTAGTACAGCCTTCAGGAACATGATTGTGACATTAGAGTTGCTGGCCTTCTGAAGAAACAGATTTTTTTAGAAACAAAACTGAACCACATCTCCCTACCATGATCAAAACAGCTTAATCATCATCATGTGGTTATTGAACGCTTCAAATTATTGCTCTGGCCAGTATTACCATATACTTTTGTTAGTTATGAGCAGGAAGGTAAGGAACTTATCATATGTATATCTTTTGGGATTGATAGTAGAAGGTAATCAGGACTGTGAATCAATTATTTCTTCCATGTTATATGTAGGTATATTATTGTAGACAGTTCAACAATTTTTCAATTCAATAATTCAATTGAGCTTTGCGAAGAATAATATAAAATTGATTCTCTCCAATAGTTTAATGCTCACAAAGCTCATTACTGGCTATACAAAATTTTTGTTCTTCAAATTCTGTTGGGAATTATTATCTTGTAATTTGTTTGTAAAAGTGAAATTTGGTGATAGTGAATAATTTCAAACTTTTACTCATTCCTTAGTGAAGAACCAGTCCGTAAACACCTGAAAAATGTTTACGCAACAGTCACCATTACATCCATCTGTGCTGCTGCTGGTGGCTTTGCACATCTCTACAGCTCCATTATTGGTATGGCTGTTCAGGAACCATACTGTTTTGGTCATTGCACTGATTGCAGTTCTTCTTTTTGTCTTACTATAATTATGTTAGTGAAATACACATTTATTCTGAAAAGTATTTAATTTCACTCAACTCAATCAAATATGACTTGAACAATGGTGTAAATTAATTTCTAATTGTAAATAAGAATATAAAAATATTTTGACATATCATCTCATAAAGAAATGATAAACTTGTAACCTGAAGATTTATTTGATCATTTGGCCTAGTATTTATTGAAAAATCTGGAAATTGATTAAAATTTACCCTGAAGAATAAGTGGTAACTATTTCTTGTTGCTAGAAAAATGTTTCAATTAAAAATCACATTTAATAACAAGTTTGAGAGTACTAAATGTTCTAATTCACGGTGCAGCATATTTTTGCAGAATAAATTTTTAATGCAAAGGAGTCAATTTAAGCCGATTTAATTAAAGCTTGAAGCATGCATTGAACTGATGCATTACATTACCAGAATGATGAATATTTATGTTTTTTTGCAGGAGCTGGCCTCCTGACTGGCATTGGCTCACTTGTGTTGATGCTGATGCTTTTGGGCACCCCTCAGTCTCCTAAGAACACGCCTCTCCGTCTTGCCTACCTTGCTGGCTTTGGCTTCCTCTCAGGCACAAACTTGGGCCCTCTACTGCAAATGGCCATCATTGTTGAGCCCACAATTGTACATTTCTTTAATTTGGATTGAAATTCATGCCTAAAGTTAATTTTTAATGTTCAAAATTCTGTATTTAGCAATAATTAGCATGCCACCAAATGTTTATTAAAAAAATTCTTTAGCTGTGGAAAACTCTCTCTGGCTTATCTGTTTGAGAGCAAGGAAAGAATTATTTTCCTAGTGATAGTAGGTTTCTTATAATTTTGTTGTAATACCTACAAGCTGTTTACTCTCTTGCTGAGATTGTTCGATTCGGCATGAACAGGGGAGTCTAGAACTCTAAAGTTAGCAATGCTGTAGTGTAACTTGAGTTGGGGAATTTGCTGCAAGCATGTCAATAAATTAATTGGTTTGTTATGATTATGCTCTCATTGGCAAAGAGCAATTCATTCAGTTTCTAATTTATGCACAGAAATTTCCGCTAAAAATCGTGATGAAATATTTACCGTTAATTGTCTCAATTTTAGATAATGGAGGCTCTGCTGGGCACAGCAATTGTTTTCGCCTGCTTCAGCTTGGCCGCCCTGTACTCACCACGTGGCAAATACCTCTACCTCGGGGGCACGCTCATTTCCATCCTCTCGACGCTCTTCTTTCTCTCCCTCGTCAACCTCTTCTTCTCGTCCAGGCTCTTATTCCAGGTATGTTCATCCCCAAATTCCATGAACACTAAAGGAGATACACTTAGTGGCCACCTTTATACGTTTCATTAGAGCTCCAACTCATTCTTCTGGTTGTCCTCGGGATGTGATCATGGTTAAAAGGTAATTTAGTTACCTTTTTTTCTGCCACCCAAGCAGTCCGAATGAGTGTCACAATTGTGACGATTTTGGGTTGCCCAACAGCGCTGCAAGATAAGGTCAAACTGTGTGTGAGAACGTTTACTGTTTAGACCCAGATTTGCACAAGATGCTCAGCCAGCATGTAAAGGAACCTCATTCAAAAGTGAACCATTTCTCTTATTCGATCTCGTGGATAAAAAGCTCGGTATTGTTTCTGTGCGAGTTTTTTTATGTATAAAATAAAAGACAAAATGAAGAAAGTTGACTGACAAAGATATAAAGAATGATAAAAATAATTTCGCTGATAATTATATCCTTCAGTTTTTAACTTTTCAATCGGCAATTTTATAGGTAACAAATGATCCTCTTACCTTGCATGAGAGATAAGCAAATATCAAGGGTAATTCAATGCCCTGCTGACTAGATTTTAAGTGTTAATTGCCATTAATTTGAATTTACTCAGTAGTCAAATTTGAATTTAGTCAATTTTTTAGCAAAAAGTCAGTCAATTTATTAGCAGTATTTCTGTTTTACTTCTAAATTTACAATCAAGCGAGTATCATAAAAACTAATGATAAATGATCATATGCAGGCCAACTTGTACATCGGTCTGGCAGTGATGTGTGGCTTTGTTGTATACGACACTCAACTCATCATCGAAAAGAAGAGGCTTGGAAACGATGACTTCATCATGCACGGAATGGAACTTTTCATTGATTTTATGGCCATTTTCAAGCGAATCCTGGTCATCCTCACTGATAAGGTATTGCCGTTTTTCTACAGTGTTTTGATCGAACTATACGGATCATGAGCCTCTAACGTCTAACTATTACATATAACAGTTTGTGTCAAATATTTTCATTGTTCTGCTTAGTCCTTGATCTTGAATGAGATTTTTTTTTGCTTTGGAATATAAAAAGCTTTAAATGTCTCGTACTTCAATCATTATTTTAGCAATAACTGAACATAATGGCAATTTTTGAATCCTAGAGCATCATGGCTAATTACACTAATCTTTAGAAGCAATGCTTGACAATACCGGTGAATCAGTTAGGTAATCTAAGCGCTTTCATCTTATGATACATGTTGAAATTTAAAATAACATTACATTTTCGTCTGAGCAGGAGGCTCAGAACAAGCGCAACAGGCGTCGCAACTAATGCCGTCTCTGCTTTGCTGCCTGCAGCCGATTACTAAGGTGATCAGCTTATGTAGCGTCACTGCAATCAATGTCTTAGTTTAAGAGTCAGGTAGTCTATGGAGAGTTTTCTAATTGATTTAAGTTGATGACTTTCTTTCATCAAATATTTACGAGTGTTACCTATTGTTGCTTTATTCTGTTGACGAAATTTTTCTACCACCAAGGAACATCTTCCATTTCATTGCCGTTCTGGGACATGATTAGGCATAGGCTTTTCATTGATGACTTTCTTTTCTTCGGTTATTTCAATTTTATTAGTTTTTAGTTGAATGCTGAGGGGTTTTTCTTGGCACAGAATGTAATGTTGAGCGTCACGTTAATGTTGGGTGTTGTCACTGGAAATGTGTACCTTTCATCGATAAACAAAGTTTTAGTGAAATATATTAAGCCTACTGTTAGTTCCCTGTGTCCAATATGATCGCTCAATTCGAGCTATCAGCTCTGAGTTGTGCTCAATGTTTCACTTTTAGCCGAGTGGAGGATAGTGTACTTGCCCAGCCAAATTACGGCGAGAGAAACATCAACTTTGATGGGACTCTGGCTACCCAACCTTCATTCCGTCGTACACACCAAGGATGAATAAATTTTCTGTGCTGTTTTAAAGGATTTGTGATAGTTCTTATGTGAAATAGTGCCCATGAAATTGGCGCAGCATAGTGGAATGTTTATTACACGGGTTTTCCGCATTCTTCAATGTATATTTTCCTTTATGTTGTTAATTGCTTTATCCCTTAGCTAGTTTGCTATATGATTAAACGAGGTGACGAAGTTTGAGCTCACTCGGTATTTTTATAACAAGTCTCCTTTTTAAGCTGACGCTCTCGTTCTCTCCTGAGCCTCCTTAATTTGCCTCTCACAGCTTCAAATCTGTTGAAAATAAATCGTTTCTTTTACTCCGTCTGTGCTCCATTATTTTTTGATTGTTTCTTTAATCATTTCAGGATTGTAGAATATCCTTTTTGGTTTAAACTATAATATCGGCCACAACCTTCTTCTCCTGTGTGTTTCTTTACTCAAATGTCATCAATAGAAATTTTAAATGCTTTACCTACCGCTATTACATTGTTCTTCCCATCACCTGGTGTTGTTTCCCAGGAATCACTTGATTAAACCAATTTCTACAGATGGCACATTGTAATAATCTTACGGAAAGAAGCAAAAAATGTTGCTATTGATCCCTTCAAAAAGCAGTAATAAAACGTTTTTTTTATATCTTCCCGACTAATTACACTACACAAAATAATAGACTATTTCTTTTGTTTGTGAAGGAATATGATTTTTCTCCTTGTCATTATTAAATTATCAGTACATTATTTCGTTCATTCCTGTCGTATATCTTACCTATTTGATGTAAGTATTGTTCTTTGCGGTAGTTCCGAGTCTAGCTTCTCGAATTTTGCACTCTTGAGTAGAGAGTCGAGAGCGTCGCCTATTTTTCGAAGGGTCTGTAGCAGCGCAAATTTGTTAACGACGATTGGTCTTTAGCACTAGAATTGTTGTTAAAAGGTCAGGAAACAGTAGATAAATAAATAAAACTTTATTTGTATGACACGAAAAATTAACAGATGAACATGTGATACAGGATTATTTACATGTGAAAAGAGTAGAATACAGTTAACCCGCTCACCTAGCAGTTACAAAGCAATGAATGACGGAGTATCTTTTTCAGACCACTTCGAAAAACAGGCTGCTAAAGAAGAGTGACATGGAAATATCGTTAACACGCTCATATGATCTCAGGAAAATTGGGCGCATTCTTGCTGAATCAATTATTTGTGAGCCAGGACAAGAACTGAACGTTGAATTCAGATTTTTATTGTATAATTTGAGTCACCTTTGTTCCGGAAAAAAGCTTCGTAGAAACCTCGCTAACACCTAAATATATGGCCATCGATACCAAGATGTGAGTGAGCTTAGTAGAACTATATGTTACTAGGCAAAACTAACCTGAATTCCATACTGCTAAAAAGAGGTAACTTTAGATGCCGACTTGAACAAACTCAGATGTGTACATAAGCTTGGCGGAGCACGTTACATAATAAGGGAAAAGGCCAGTAACCGCACAAGCTGGTTTCTTTCCTCCAAATTAATATGAAGGCTGCTCAATCTATGGTGCAGCTTCAAGCGCCTAAGAATACATTTCGATTGTAGAATTATTGTGAAAATGACAAGGTATATTTATCAAGTAGAACGCATCCATATAATGCAGTTCAACTTTGAAGAATTAAAAAATGGACGATTCCGCCAGGTTTTGAGGGACAGTCTTGACCTCGATTAAAGATTGTCGCTGGAAGTTTATAAAAACGCTAACGAGTGCTAAGCATTCGGCGCTGGAAACTAATAATTAATTAGCTTAAATAAAATTCCAGCAAGACTTACGACTTCAGTAAGGCTTCGGATACCACTTATCGTTCATTTGACTTAAGTCTACAGACCTACTAGAAATGTTATAATGTATCCTACATTAGGCAACAATGAAGCTCACTAATTATTCATGATAAAGCTGGTAACAATAGCTTGCTTAACTCAACAACGTTGTGGAAATTGCATGAACATCAGCCGCCAAAGCAATAGGCACGAGCTGAAACAGAAGAAACGCAGGTCACGTATAGCGTGATAGATAAAACGCGCCTCCATTGACATCAGATTCATTTCCATTGCAGTGCTAAAAATTATGGATGGGATACATAGAAATTTTTGTAATCCACCTGTAAGAAGTCTCCGACAGGCTGACAGCAACATAAGAAATTGTATTCATTATTTGAATTATCTCAGCGCACTTACAGAACCATAATAACAGTAAACTTCAAAGAACAAGGAATATTGTACATCGATCGGTCTCACCAGTGGGTAATGCCCACAGCATGAACTTTGAATGAAATCAAATGTGTTTACAGAAGTATTAGAGGATTATATTAGTTCGATGATAAATTGAATGAATGACTGCTATTAAATCTGCTTAATGTAATTAATTGAATGTAATCTGCTCTCTTCCAACGTCCCCAAGAAATAAAAATGTCCATTCTTGTTAGATCAATGATAGGCAACCAAGAAACGTGCAATATTTTATCACTTTCGGATACCAGCGAATAAGCGATTATTGGAAACACGATGTTCTCAAGAACTTTGAAATACATTTTACAAATTATCACTTTTGAATCGCTTATAATGGCGACCAGGATAAAATTGTCGCCAAAAGGAAGGTTAAAGCGTTTCATCTAAACTTGCTAGAAAAAAAAGACGACGTGGTGTGAGCGTCGTTTAGAAGTAGAGATCAGCATTGATGGTTTGCGGAGCCGTAGATACCGGAGGGCCCAAAGCCTGATTTGCTGAGAGAGAAGAATGATGGACTGACACGCCTGCCAACCGAATGTCGTCCACATCTCGCCATCCGTTCATTGTACTGCCAGATTCGGTTTCCTGAAATAAAATTTATCACATTAATTTTATTCTCTCAATTTAATATTATAGAAAACAGCGAAGAAAGTGACTAGTGCCAACGAGAGTAATTAATTGAATATTAATACAAACTCTCATGACATTGCCGAACCTGTATTAGGAAAAAAGTATTAAAAATTTGATTTAATCCTGTATTGTTTACCGTTTCACTAGTAAAATAATTATATACTTAGCGGATTCTTTCAATGCACAGTACATGATGATTTTTTTCAATATTATGAGCACAGCGCCCAAGCATAAATGAGACAATAATCGTTATGATTGTAGTAGGCAAAAATAATTCCAGGAATAACTGCAACATAATTTGAATCATAACGAAAATAATTAAAACTGAGCATCAGTGCTGTTAGACTGGCTTTTGATCCCACACGGCGCACAAGTTTAGTGAAAGAGCGCGGGCAGCATAATGTTGACTGCAAATTGTACCTCAACATGAAGAATGAGATAAAATATTTATCCTGCCGTTTTACTTCTCGGTTACCTGTACTATTGTCTGAAGTCAGCTTGAATTCTAGAATTACATTACCATAAATATCATCCGTCTCTTGGGCTAACGGCATCTTATCCAGGCTAGCCAACCTAACCGAGTAAGAATTTACGCCCGGAGCGGGCGGGAATGCCAAGCTCGGCTATCGAACAGCTGAAGCAGCAACATAGCAACAGCTGCAGTTGCAATGGTGCCAAGACTAAAGCTGATAGATCTAACAACAGCCCAATTTATAATAATCTAACGCAGGTTTATGAAACTGAAACCGCCAGGATAAAAATAGCTTTTCTTAAAAAATAGGTCATAAATCAAACTAAATAGTCCGTGAAGATACGGATGACCTTCTAACTGGAACCCGTGGGTTTGGGCTTACCAGACAGTGAGGAGCCTTACAGTTACCACCAATGAAAGGGTAGCTTTATGAGGTGAACGTACACGTTCTGACTGTTCAGGTTTCAAAAGTTGTTGCATACATTCGTCATGCGTATTGATATATCATGAATAATAAAAAATAATACTATAATTTGATAACGAGCTCTTACCAAAGCTGTGGGAAAAGCGAAATAAATATAGTACTAAAAATATTCGCTACGAAGTAGCTAAATAATAAGCAATAATATTTATTATCGGACTGGTGCACGAAAAAAAACACAAAAATGGCATTTGGCACTTCAAGTGAATATGCGGAGGCCAGACAAAGAGGCACCTAGTTCACGATGACCACAACACGGCTATCGAGCGGTCACGGACGAAGCTTGTCTGCGATTGATCGGCGTTAGTCTTACCAGACACCACGTGACTGGGCAACTGGGACTGCGTGGCAGCGAATAATGAAGCAGCATCCCACGCTAGACAGTATGTTAGAGATGCTATTTGAATAATGGATTCGAGTAATATGTTCCAGACAGCGTGACCACAAAAGTTAGGTGACATTCGAAGATCCCGTGCGATACGGCATCAACTGCACGATAAAAGTGAGACGGTCACTTAACGACAGCGTTTGATACCTTACCTACGTAGAATTTGTAACAATTTTAAAATGTGCATTGCATATGCCAAGGCTGATTTTTATTTAGAATAATACACCTATTTGACTTCCTCGAATATTAAATTGTCAAGGAATGCATGGCAATGAAGCAGCTGTGTTCCGAGCACAGGTGTCTCTGCACTTGCATTGATCTGTGCCTCTCTTCACACAGCTTCCCAGAAACTCGAGAACAAGAAATGTAGAACGCAGGTCACGGGGACTTCCGTTTCCGGTCATTATTGTGTTCCAACCAAACGATAATTTTGATGGAATTAAGTGAAAATAAATCGAACATAAAAACGTTAGGCCTAGTTCATCAATTCATTCGTTGCTCGTATTTCAAGTTACGGATCAAGAATACCACCGTTGAACCCTTCTAAAGTTCATCAAGACAAGCGGATAAAGACTGAACTTAATAAACAAACCAACATGCATCGAGCTAGAAGACAGATGTGGATTTGTTAACGCTTAACAAATCTCAGTTTCAGAATAAAAAATACTGTTAGCACCATTCGAGACGACATCTTCGTCCGGCTACAAAATTTCAGGGTTGAAATATATTTTTTATTTAGTTTAACGAAAAAGAGGGTCGCATAAGAACTCAAGAAAATCATTAAACTTCTCAAGGTTGTAGTCATCACAGTGAGCTGCAATCAAAATCGCAAGTCACGCAATTCCTAAGGAGGCACCAACTCGGGTTAAGAGCACCAACTGCAAGCTGCTTTTGTGGGAACAAGTCACGCGCTTTGTTATCTGCTCTCGGGATTTCCGCACGCAAGTGTATGAAGTTGCTGTCGCAACAGGCATCAAGAGGCATAAATATGACTTGATAACAGCACGTTTGCGGGAACGCCAGGGAGCGAGCCTAATATGACATTTACAAGCTAGTCATAATGACAGCATTTCAAAGATATACGTACAGATCAATATGCTGATGGAGTTTGTTTTTGAGGGAAACGTGCTAACTTTTAACTAATCCGCAAGAAAACGTATATTGTGCTGACCATACGATAGCCCTAACATCTCTCTTGAGAGTCGCAACCAAGCCATAGCTGAATTTGAAAAAAATTCCTAGTTTATTAAGGGAAGCTTACTGAAAAAATTCTAACATCAAAACTTTATTTTTAAATCAACAATATTGTGCAACGAGTAGATCACTACAGTCAAAAAAGCTGATCCGTGTGAAGGAAAGCCATTTCTCAACTGCAGCTTATTTAACAAAGCAACTACGACCACATACCAATACAAACAACATCTTAAAATGATAAAAATGCAATATTTTCACAGGTTCAATATGCTGGAGACTTGTTCTAATGTTCAAAATAATCAAGTAAATGATAAATCTTAAGAAAAAAGTTGAACATACGTAGAATTCAATGCATTAGTGCGTTCGACAACGGCCCAATTAAGGAATAATTTCAAAGTATTACGTTCAGTTTTTTTATATATCCGATGAAACACTGAATATTCGATTAAGTGAAAAGTTCTATTTTATGCGAGTGGCGTACGAGTACGTTATCAGTTAAAGGACCAAAATGTAGATCAAACCTGAATTTTAGTTGGCAAACAGAACACGGTAAATAGTTTGATTTCGGTATTAACGTAATTGACCATTATTATTATTTTTAATAATCTTTGCCCGTAAGTTCAAAGCAATTTAATATCACAAGGCTAAAAAAATTTGTCGGAACTAACAAAACTTGTAAAAAAAATTGTACTAAGGGAATAAAAACACTTTAGAACACAACAGAGCAGGTATTATTGTAAAAAAAGAAGGGAACCAACTTTCAAGGCACGTCGCTGTACCTGTCTGGGGTTTTCCAAGCAACTCTATGAAGAGTCCTTGAGAGGCAGGTTTTTCTATAAAACTCTTGGCTTGGTTATACCACTTCTAAGTAGGTGTAATCAGATTAGGAGCATTCATTTCTGATTTTACACGACCGAGTGGAAAGTAACGCTACTAAAGATACAATTGCCAGCGATGAGACCAAATATGGCCATTGATTAAGCTAGTCACTATATATACGATTTTAGGCTGTTAATATCTTGCAAATTATGAATACAAAAGGCGTTTATCAAATCAGTGATTGAAAATACAAGGCAAGAACTTGAATGCAGCGCAATAAGCACAGTAATACTTGATAATTTTACCTGATGGAAACGTACTTGCCACAAGTAGGCATTGTAATTTAGGACAAAGCCAACTATTGAATAAATTAAATAAAGCTCACCTGGGTATAGCTGTACTGGTCATCGTAATCTTCGTCGTCGTCGTCGTCGAGGGTGTAAGCGGCAGGCAAGAGCTGCGCAGGAGCGCCCAAGTCCAGAAGTTGCGTCGCTATTCCCGTAGCACCGTTGGCGAGCGCGAGCTACGCATAACCAGGTATCATAAACGAGCTCAAGGTAGTATATCTTAAAGCTACTACCATAATTTTTGTGATTATAAACTAATGAATATATTGCTCGAATTTTTGGACAAAATTACTTAGCTAGCTGCTGCTACGAGTTGAAATAAAGGCAATGCTAGTAATGCAGTGAAACAGACCTGGTAAGGAGATAGTCTTGCGTACGTCTCGATGGTAACGGAGGCACGACACGCGGTCACAATATGAGCAACGAGTTCAGGGTCGCGAGCCTCAACTGCGAGATGGAGGGCAGTGCGACCACTCCGGCATTCCTGTAAGAAAACCAACCAATCTATTCATTAAAAAATGCATTTACGAAACACTGATTACAGAAACAGTCATTGTGAGAAGCTGACATTTAACCCTTATGATCGACCGGCTTTGAAGTAAACTCCCTCCAATCAATAAATAACCTGTAATACTTTACGACAAAATATTATATTTATACAAATTTTCGAATTTTTCAAATAAATGGATCTCAGCAGTTCGTACTGTTTGTAAATATTTTAGTTTGAAAAATATTTGAGTAATATTCGGGTTGAAGCCATATTTTTTAATTTACGTCAACTATGAACTTCAACAATCTTGTAGTTGCAAGATTTGTAAATATAATATGAAACTGCATTTAGTATAACGGCACGCAGAAACTGGCAATTATTAATGTCAAGATAGGATTATATATTTTAGGATTGAGATGTCTGTCACCTCAATCGTAAAAAAAACAGCGGATAGGTCATGAAAGTGATCGGTGAGAAGCTGTCCGTTCCGCCAAATTACTTTTTGCTGAATCATGCAAGAAATAGGATACCAAATTAACGGATAATTTTTTATCCATAGACAGTCGAAGGTTTTTTTTCTCGAGTAATGACAGAAACAGTGATTTACACACAATATTTTTTAATTTACGTCAACTATGAACTTCAACAATCTTGTAGTTGCAAAATTTGTCTAAACATTGATTACTTGTATTGATGAGAGGAATTTCTGTAAATCAATGAATCAAGGATGATAAATTATATCGAATTGAAAGCAATAAATATGCAACTACATTTAGTACAACGGCACGCAGAAACTGGCAATTGTTAAGGTCAAGATAGGATTATATATTTTAGGATTGAGATGTCTGTCACCTTAATCGTAAAAAAACAGCGGATAGGTCATGAAAGTGATCGGTGAGAAGCTGTCCGTTCCGCCAAATTACTTTTTGCTGAATCATGCAAGAAATAGGATACCAAATTAACGGATAATTTTTTATCCATAGACAGTCGAAGGTTTTTTTTCTCGAGTAATGACAGAAACAGTGATTTACACACAAAAAATTACAGCAAATGGAATGAATGAAAACAGTGTAAACAAAGTCCAGTTATACCTATATTGAATAACAGTAATAAAACATTCCTCTAATTTAACTGGAAACAGATGAACAACCTGTTGAAACAGGTAATGCGGCACTTCTTAGAGCACCAGCAAGGTAATCAATTACTGGTAAATTAATATAAAATCGCACAGGCCGCACCTTGGCATTGACGTCGGCGCCGTACCACGTCAAGTGCTGCAATATCTCCTTATCACCGGCCATAGCAGCCACGTGCACACACGTCTCACCTGAAAACGGATATGAATATGGGTCAACGATCGCTCTGTGAATCAGTTATTGCTTTTTATGGAGCAGTACGACTCAACACTGCAATTAATCACGATACGGTAAAAATGCCAGCAACGTCAGCAACGATAATTCAGCAAATGTCAGCAACGATAATTCTGCGTGTAACCTCTAACTACAAAAGGAATTAATTTAATAAAACTTAATAAAATGGTCATTGGTTTATGTAAAACTATAAATAACGCAGGAGGGACAAAAGTGATCTGAGGGTATAAGTCTATATAAAGGGAGGTTCCTGAGAGGGAGCGTTTGGCCTGGCCAAGCTCCAAATAAGGCTTTGCGGGGAAGACGCACGAGTAGCCAAGCAAGATGAAAGAGTGACGGAAGCCTCCGCATACTTGATAATCGTGCGCTTATGATTCTTGAGCTATGCGCGGGATACCAGAAAAATTGCAGCCAGGCACATTACATCCAAAGTGTATCGAAAATGACCACTATTCATAGTCTCTTCATAATATTGCTGTGAAAACACTGGCCCTTTAATCGTCAAATGCGGCGTAACCAACACGTGGGAGTACAATCAAACGATTCATTGGTTTCGCGCGCAAGTGAGGAAATGGGGACATTTTTCACGACTGCATTACCAAATGCGCCACGTAGCACGGCCATATGACTTCCATCAAGACGAAAAATAAGAAGTATCCACTTAAATCTGATTATGTAAAAAATAAACACGAAGGTCACTGTATTCATAACGATGGACCGCATTACGATAATAAGTATTACTGATTGTAACAGTCATTTCTAACTTTAGAACCGCGAACAACATGATCCCCAAAGTATCAGGTGCAAGCGCAAGTGTGTGCTTCATCAGGTAGCCCAATGAGCCGGAGTTGCAGCGCAAATACTGCGGTGTCAGGGCGACTAATGTGCATGAGAAACGCAACCCCGAGGACCCGCAGCGCAGCTTCGTGGGGTTTCCCCGACTAGCCCGCATCGCGGCGCTGCTCATGCAATGGGGAGGACCTTCCTCCCTCCCTCTCCTGGTGTGGCTCTTGCCACCAGTCGTTCACATTCATATCTTCATGTTCATATTACTAACGAACGTTCCCGAATTATCACTCATCGACTCATATTTTCCCCACTATACGCCATCAAAGTGACACTCACTAGTTCCAAATTATGACAAACCTCGCAAAAGCGAGCATAAACACAAGTAAAAGCAATATTGAACATTCAATATAGTATATGCAATACTAAAATATATTCCGAACATCGTATACCCCAAACGGTACCGAATAAAAAATATTTCCTCAACAAACATAGCAAAAAAGTGAACGGAAAAATAACTTGTTTTTTTTTTTAGATCATAATGACAAAACTATTTACTATTTACAACTGGGATGTTTGCTCAAAGAAGCGCAGCGCACACAGCTGAGCAGAAGGATGGGCGTAAGAGAGAAGCAGGTTATCTTGCCAAGAACCAAGAATTTGTCTGACGTGCTGAAATAGCCAAATGAGAGAGAGGGGTTGACAACAATGCCACCAAGGTAATTCTGGACACCTGGCTTTTCCTTACAATTGAGTGAGTTATAAAATCATCAATAGAACAAACCTGAAGTTGCTTCTATAGCCATTGTTCAGCATTGCCTTTCAACCACAGTAACTACGGTAGGCTATTTAACTTGCACAATGAGTGATTAAAAATATCCATCAATGCAAGGCAATCAATCCATTTGAAAAAGAGAAGTGATTACAGAATGATAGTAGAAATGGTACCAGGAGCTTCATATAAAAGTAAACAGAAGTGTGAAACACATAAAAAGGGATGGATCAAATAAAAGATCAAGTTCAGCTACAAGATTTAAAATCGAGACAAAAGTCGCCCAAGTGCGTCAATTCATCAAAATTCAGAGGATGAGCTGGGGTGCGCTATTACTGCATTTGAAGACATGATTGTGTTTAATCTGGCACGACGATCAAATTGTCTGTTCAGTGTGATTAGGTTTGCTAGAATTTGGGGAAGGTGAATACCGTACCCAGTTCAAAAATTGAACAAGGAACAAACATGTAGGAAATTTTGGCCAAGAAGTACGGAGCTTTAGTAAGCATACAAGTCACAAAGCGTCCGAAGAGCTGCCAGCAGCTCATTCAGAAGAATGCGAGACCCCAGAAGTGCAGCGAAGGCTTCAGCTTCAGGGCGGGAAAACCAGCTAGATGGAGGTCGCATTCACGCAGCGCGCGTGTCCCACGAAGCAACTGTGCCAGCACTGCAATTACTGAGTGCCAGCCTTGCAGTGCTTCAGTGCCAGTAGCAATGCTGGTCGGGCAGAAATAAATATACCAAAAAGATGCTCTTAGGCTGATGAACTAGAATTCATAATGGAGGCTATTTTGACAAGGGTGGTTTAACCGAACTCCTCACAGAGAGAACGCAAAACAATTTTGAGGGATGAGTTACCTAAACGCATGATGACAACCATCGACCGGGTAGCTAACTAGGCCGTTTTTGTCTGAGGTCGTTAGCACCACAAGATAACGCTCAATCCTAACGGTAACGACAGTCAATGAGTCGCGTGCAATGAAAAACGTAAGATGATTTTAATGTCCCCAACTTATATTTTAAGGCCGCTGTATTTAGTTCAATGATGTATAAGGTCTCGCGAATAACCGAACCTATGATGTAAGAAACGTGTGCCAGCAGCTGAGTACAGGAATGAGCATGAAGCGAAGAACATCATAGTGTCGAACGAGCGAGAAGAGCAAGAAGCTTACAGCTAGGATGTCGCTATCACTGCAAGATGCCTCCTGCCATGCTGCCTTCCTGTGTCAGTACGCCAGAGATGGAGTTCAACTCGACTAATGCATTAGAAGGTGTCACCATCACACACAATTGATCAGCAATCAGGTTCAAGAATTTCACTTAGAAACAAGGTAGCCGCTAAACTATTTTTTGTTCAACTTTTTTCATCATCAACTTAGTGCATAACATGACCTTTTTTAATCCAACCCAACCTAATCTATACTATTAAACCAGACCTAACCGCATCTTGCCTAACGTAAGCAAACCCAGCCAGGCCTAGCTTAAGTGAAACGTAATAATGTTGGATACCTGGAGAAACATCAGAATTTCATGCAGGAAATATCATGAATACAATTATTCATTTTCAAATAAAAAACCGAGCGAAATCTGCGATTTCATTATGAAAAAACTTGCGTTAAACAGTTGGCCGAACAAACAGGAAAGGACCAGTTTTTGCAACTTGATAAGTTAATGAGCGAGAAAACGATTATTTGAATGATTTCACGGAGTAATTGGTCAATTTAAGCACTGTAGTCCGGTGAGGCATCGTTGTTTCACTTGAATCTAGAGTAATTTAGGAATTGCCGACCCGTGCGAGAACAGCGAGAACTTCCCGTGAAGACTAATTTAGAATGCCAGAGCGCGTTTCTCTTAATAATCGCAGTGAGAGTCGGAGGAGGGGGATCCCAAGGTTACACAAAAGAAAAGTATACTAGGTGGATAAGTACCTTATTAAAATATTGTATAATTCGACCACAATTTTAGACACATTAACATATAATTATTGAACCCTTACCCCGCGAAACAAGGAGCGGAATAAGGTGAATGCACAGCGAGTTTCAGTGGGAAGGGGGAGTAGTCGCGGCGAGTGCGATTGCCTTAAAAGGAGTCGATTCAGAGCCAAAGAGGGGCGCCCTCTCAGAGGCGCCGAGCTATATTGGCATGCTCGTGTTCTATTTTGTGAGGCACGCCGGGCACGTGATGCCTCTGCCCTTCCCTCCCTCGGGGATTTGAGCATCAGTGGACTTCCCGGGCAAAAATACAAGCAAGTACATATACGCACGAACCTGAGTAAACAAGCAAATAGACGCGACTATACACAGAGCAAAATACAAACCAAGGCAAGTTCGTATTTTGTTCAGGCGAAAAAAATGTCATGAAGTATGAGAAATCAAACATTGCTTAGTAATTCGAACATCGCCTCAACACATAGTTTCATTGGTAATTTTTGGTGAAAAGCTTAAATGAAATTCGAAACTTTGAGAGAGTGCAGTTCAGACTCTTAAACAATATTGTCTCGAGGTATGCTGACAGTGCTAGAATCATATGACATGTGATGCACATGCAGTCAAGGAAATTGGCCTTATTCTCCTAGTGTACCTACAAAATAACCACAAGGATTGCTCCAAAAATATTAACACTTTGGTGGTCAAGACATATTTAGAGAAGGAAACAACGATTAATTTGTCGAGAGAAAAAAACGTATGACCCGCGCAGAATTTCAAAAAGTTATTAAGTGAAAGCGATATGCAATAACCTTGAGGGCATTCCGCAACAGTGGGGATCTCGTAGAGATAGCAGAGATAAAGAGCAGGAAACCCCATTCACGATAACAGTGGGAATTTGTTAGGACACTTACACAGCATGGGCACGGCCGGTTACTCATGATATGAACTATCATCACCAAGATGACCTTAATTGCGTAACCGAATGCATGCCGAATGAAGAAATAATCATTTTTGCAAATCCAACCTACACCGGTTCCAGTTCAGACTCAAGACTGTAACTCCATTTTTCAACGAACGAGAATTCAACGTCATCGACTATGCCACTAACATAACCGTAATTAGAAAAAATTCAAGCGCTTGCCATTAATAATTAGGAATGAGAAAGAACAACCAAAAATGACCTCAAGTTTCATTTACAGCACTTCAAAAAGTTTAATCCGATTACCAGGTATATCAGTGCAATTGCAGCCTTGAGTGAAAATAGATCCGAATAAAATTTCAAATGAAGTGATGGCAAAAGTTTTCTTTTGCCATCAAGTGCGCAAAGGAAACAAAACAAGTCAGGAATGAAAGTTAAATTGAGTTGAATGAGCTAGAACTCACCCTGATAGTTAGTGAGGTCGGCAGCGACGAGGCCTGGCGTGTGGGTGGGGGCATAGGAGAGATGGGCGTTCATCACCTCAGTGACAGTGACGGGCCTGGTTAGGTGAGTAACCATGGCGGCGTCCTTCCGACCACAGGCCACGTGTAGGGGGGTGTTCCCCCGCAGGTCTCTTGCAACTGGCGAGGCTCCACACACTATCAAGTGGCGAGCAATGGCCGGCACTCCAGCGCTCACAGCCAAATGCAGAGCCGTCTGCACCACAGAGAAAATTTGATGTGAGACTTGACTTTAGCTGCCACAATACGTTGTGGGAAATGATCATCGCTGTAAAAAAAATTGTCACGAATATAATGTTTCATGCACAATTGAAACTGAACTTCACCTCAACATTATCACGACAAATATGATCGTCTAAGAATTTTGGCGAATTTTCACTAAGTGCCTCAAGGAGCCCACCAATATCAAAGCCCGGTGAGATGATACACGACCCATATATACATTATACATGTGTAATGGTCCTAGATTTTATACGTATTTTAATATCATTAAAACAAAGAACACGAATAAATTCAAAGGTTAGTTTAACCCAAGACAGAAGGAATTTGGCTGTACTAAAAATTGTGAAAGGATTATAGAACTGCCAGAAGGGTACTCACCCTGCCAGAGTTGTTAGCGAGGTCGAGGAAAGCTTGATGAGGCAGGAGCCGAGTAATGTGATAGACCACCTCAATGAAGCCCCTCATTACCGCAACATGAAGCTGCCTGTAACAAAAAAAAAACACTATAGACCTGGAGTCCGTAAGACCACATATTTTGAGTTGTATAGAAAATAAAATAAAATTTAATACTGCTTACTGTTATAATACCAGCCCATTAAGCTAGTGTTTTGTCTGCCAGGCTGAAGCAGACTGAAGTTGAGTTAAGTTTCTGAGTTAAGTTAAGTTAAGTGTCTGAAGTTAAGCTGCCAGGCATTCAATCCGAGCAGCCAAAATATCTGGTTTGACTGGCTCATACGACGAAAGCTGTAAAACGAGGAAAACTTGTAGGAGCACTTTCGCTGCAAAAATGTAACTAAACGAGAAGCTGCAAAAATAGAACTAAACGAGAACAGGAATAAGCAAACCATCGAGAGCCTACAGGAGCCGATAGTTTTCTCCTTTACAATCTCTTGCGATGGAAATAATTCCTATAGGTATCAACAGAAAACCTTTTTCGGCCGTGAAATCGGCCGATATAAAATGTAATGTAATGAATCATCGAAATAAAATGTAATAGAATACTTTTTTAACAAAAGGCAAATTTTTTCGAAGATGTCGTTGAAATATAGCTATTTCATATACACAAGTTCTTCGTTGCTTTGGATTTAGCTTATTACTATTTTGAGAGTTTGAGTGCGTGTTTTCAAAGAATCCAAGATAAGAGCACAGGATGGCTACATCAAGCGAGGGGAACACCGTCGGCTGAAGACGTCATGATACGTCACATCATATCCTGATCTCCTTTAACAATTAGGCACAAGGATGAGAACGTTTAGCTGACTGAGCCTCAAGCAAGCATTGCAAGTAAATCTCCGAAAACAGAATCACATAAGTTTCATTATTTTATTTGTGACTGACATGTGCATGGGAGTGATACTGAATATCATTCAAGTTACCAGTTGAATCGATTCCGTCTGCACCAATACTGGTTGGCTAACGAATAGATTGTTTTATCTGAATAGCCTTGATCATGAATTAATTATACCTTTATCAAGACAAAAAGTTCACAGTTCAACTTTGCACTAGCATAAGTTCAATCAAATTAAGGTTTACCCAACACACTCTTCTAACGCCGTTTCGTCATCGAAGTAGAGAGCAACTGACACGTTAATCGTCGCAAAGCACTGAAAATAAAATGACGGCTTGTGCTTAGTCAGGTTAGTAGGAAAACTACTGAACGGAGAACCCGTTTGAGTCACTCCAACAGGATATATTACTAACAAAATTACACGCTTTAGAAAGATATCCCGGGCCAATACTTCGTAAATCCTTAAGCATGAGCTTCCAATGACGTCCCATGTTTCTACTAGTATAAAGTTACAACAAAATACCACTCATCATTCTTGGAATTAATTATGCTGACTGTTGACGTAACTCGCTACCTCGACGCATGGAAGCCAGGCGACATTTTGAATCTTGGAATTCGACTTAACACGTAATTAAACACTCAAACACACTTCAACCAAATCATTTATAGGCATTTATACTAGTATATTAATATTTTATTATGTAAGAAGTAAGTCGTCGGAAAAATCTGTAACCTAAAAAAGACGATGTTAAATCTCAAATGGAAGCGCTCTGGGGAAAACCTGCTATTTACAAGTTACGGAAAACCCATAAACCTTTCACTTGACGCGACCGTAGAGAGAAAGAGAGCTGAGTCCAAGATGTAGTAGCGTCAACAGGTCATGCACGGAACAGTTACGAAACATAGGAATGTTAACAGTACTGCAGTAGAATTATAACATAGCTGAAGAAAAAACGGTGAGCCGGATGAGAATACTAAGAAAATAGGAAGACGGTTCACTTGAAGAACAACGAAATTTTGGAAAATTTTCCACTTATGTTGGGGTACAACGACTGACAATGTACGGTAGCACCATTCCAAGCCAAACCACGTAAGATAGTCGTCACACTTTCCTCATTCAACGAACAAAAATTTTGCGGGAGGTGATTGCAGGTGATTAGCAATGAGCCATTAAAGCCTTCAGCTCGATTTGAATATAATAACTTATAAGTTGTTTGCTCACTCAATGACACAAACAAGTTTAAAATTCATCTTTCAGATTCAACTTACGTGTCTCCATCTTTATCCGGACTGAAAACTTCTCGTAAAAGGGTGACGTGACTGCGAGAAATTTCCAGATTGCAGCCAGCATCTCTTCTGCTGTGGCTATCTTCTGAAATCCTCGAATTTGAAGGATCGTCACTTGTGTTGTTCTCGACTGAATCTTCGTAGTTTTGTGTGCTCGAGCGCAATTGCAACGAATTCATCTGATCGGAAATATCGATACCAGAATCAAGGCAGCCGGAGGATGTAATAGCAGAGGAAGATAGTTGGGAGTCAAGATGGTGACCTCCGTGAGAAGCATCGTTAGAACTTCCAGACAGAGTCCGTGATAGAAGAGTCTGGCTCGGCTGATTGTTTGTGCTCAAGTTGTAGTCTTCAACACTACTACTCGATACCAGATTCGATCCCGACAGAAAACCAGAGTCGGAATGTGAATCGTAGACAGATTTATAATTGTCTCCTCCTGGACTGAGAGAGCCCCCCTCGTCGTTTGATCTCTTCGAATGGCCTTCAGGCCTGGTCACGCCGCCTGTTTGCCACATAATTCTAATTTTACACAATGAAATCCTCTAACAAAACTACCAATGCACTGGGCGGTAATTTATCGATATTACTCCGGGAATAAAAAATGTTGCTGCCTGTATAACTTAACACTTGATATTTCAGCGAAAACCAGGAGAAAAATGATCACGGAACACTTAACACCATAATAGGGGATGCCACGCCAACCACACACGCATACATAGTCTGAAGCTAAGAGCCAGGAAATCGTCGACCACTCAGCTCCAAAAACAAGTAACCACTGAGCGCAAGATAGAGCTGCCGCTGCGCACAATATATGTACAGCATGGCTTCTCACACTGCCACTGATCGCTAGACGGGAAATTCCGAGCGTGGCACATGAACGCATGTAATAGTCATTTCGGAGTTTAAATGATCTGCTTGAGGTGTGATTTATCTCAGAAACTTATATCTCATAATGTTTACTATCATAGTTATGTTCGTCTTGGACTAATGAGCTTTCGCCTTGGATTATAACCGGTCGCAATATTGTTAATACGCATACTCGCACAAAAAATCATGCATATGTGGCATCTGTTGAAAAATCTTGAGGTAGGCCAAATCCTAATGTTTATCGCATTTTATAAAAAGTTCTTAGATTCAGTTACCGCGAATTTCTGGAAAATCCGTTGGTAATTTGATGGCACCCTACATGCTAAATTGAATAATTTAGAATAATTTAAGCTAGCAATTGTTCGAATTTGAAAAATTTAGACGCGACACAAATTCGATACGGCCTTGAGGAAAAATTCACTGAAAATTTCCGTCTAAAATTTCACAATAAAATGTGTTTCAAACAAGAAAAGTGTACTCGTCGGGAAGTATTCACAAGTCCCTCGATTGAACCTAAAAATTGATTAGTAGGGATTGAGTATTCTCCAGATTTATTAATGAAGGAGGTAAGAGACGACGAGTCCCCATCTCAGAACATAGACGAAAACAAATCATCAGTACAACATTGATTTCTACTCAAGTAAAACATTAAGATTTAATGTAGACAAAATTTGGCGACTCTGACATGGTGCAACTAAAAAACTTAGGTGATGGTTAATCATAAGGGGAATTGGTGTGGTCGAAACACATTATTATTGTTGTGAATGACGTTAAACTTTACATTAAAATCTTTAATTTGGAAACGAAATATTGTTATATAAATGAAACCCTAATAATGAAGTTTAAACCTAACAAAGCCTTCACGTCTTAATATATTTACGATTTCTAGCCATAATATTTTTTCTAATAACGGAAATGACTTCAATTTCAAGTATCAGTATTCACGTTCAGGTCATGACTTCCCACTTGAAAATGACCAGAAATGGAGTCCTCTGTACGTTCAAGGTTCCAGGCTTACTGAATAAACACATTCAATCAGTAAGAGTTTTTGTCCTTGGAGTCTTGCCGTCTTGGAGTTAGATTTTCTAAGCGCGACGACGCTTGAGCCGAGCATTCTACCTGCTTGCATGTTTTCTTTCGAGCTGCTCGGGCCTTATGAACTCTGCATTCGATAGAATACGAAAGTACGGTTTTGAGGGTTTGTTGCTTACATAACAAGCGAAAATCTTAAAAAACTCGACGAATTTTTCTTGTTTGTCCTCAGTTAAAAACTAGATTTAAATATTTAGGAATTAATTGAAAACCTATGCCAATGGAAGTACAATATACACAAGTTTGGGAAGATGCTTTTGTGATCAAGTTTACGTTTTCACTGATTTCTTTCTGGTTCATGAAACCTTACATTAACGAGTCAAGCATAAATGCTGAGATACGAATGTTGTAATGTTGTATAAATAAAACAGTATCGAACACTGTTCAAGGAAATTTGAAATTTCAATTGCGACTGAAATTAAGTCTGCAGACTTTTTCATAGCGTGTTTGTTGGGCGAGTCTTCCCAAACAAACTAAATGTTCACACTCAGCGCACGAGTTAGCGTTCAATGTCGAAGTCTACAGCGGTTGTCGTCAGCGGTACGCGCGCCGGCTACATACAGGCTCGGCCTGTAGCCTCGTCGGTGCTGCGCGATCTAGACCAGGAAAATTTGCTCTCTCCAGGATTTCCCAAGACGAGTTCAACTAGAATCGGTCGAAATATTCTGAACCGAGATAATAAAAGCGGTATCACTCCAGAGCCTAAAATTGCTTATACTTCGCTCGAGTTGATCCCAATGAAGCTAAATGCTTTTCGGAAAGAGGCTTCAAGAGACACTCGTGTTAGCGCCTTCTAATCTCTAAGCTACTATGTAACATAGATTTTCAAGTCTTCGCATAGATTTAAAATAATTTGAATGCTTCGAATTATGTGGACTTTTGTTAAATCATTTGACGGACTCAATGAATGAGGCATTACATTTAAATACATTATCGAGATGATTTAAATCCAGTCCCAGCTTTTAGGCAAATATTTATGAAGAAAATTTAAATCACTTTAGAAACAAATGATGTATATATTATAGCTTACTGATTTTGGACCTTTACCATTAATCAATATTTAAATTGGAAACGTATGCTTGAGAGAAATAGACCGATAAATTCTGAAAAAAACCAACGTGCGCGTATTTCGCGCCACATAAAAAGTAATGCCCCACGATCATTATCATAACCGTTTTTTACCATGCCCAATTGCCCATGCTATAGATCACATAGTTTGACTCAGATCCATGCACCTAGAAATATTTCCGCGATCTATTGTGTGGTAATTGCAGATGCCTTGAACCCTCTGTCACTTATTGTTAAAAATAATATTACGAATCGCTTCTCCAAGTTAAATCTTTTGACAGCCCAGAAGCGGTTTTACCAGTTCAAATAAATCTAATTGTAGCGAAGGCTCGCTGCCCCGAACTCAAAAAATGGACTGTATAGTTAAAAAAACATCCTCCTTTTTGTGGCAGGATTGGCAAAATAAATTCGATTAATAAATAATAATCAAAATAAATTCGAAATAAATGTGCCGCCACTAAAGAATTTCCTCATTTATAGAGAAGTTGACTCTTTCTTTGGTGGTGACTAATAAAGTAAGGTAAGGTGAGTTAGTCAACCTAAAACATTCTTTCTTCAGTAAAAATTTGAATCTATAAAAAAGATGTATAATCTATGAAGGATTTTATAGAGCAGTGGTTCAGAATTAGTTTTTCAGAGGGAATAGAAGATTCAAAATTTATAAAAACCTGAATAATGGGAAAGAATACTGCACCTGTCGTTAGTGATCATTTTGAATCAGTCTAAATATATTACTTTGAAAATAAATTCATAATAATTTTGTAAGTAACAACAGGTAAGCAGTAGGAGTTTCCATCATAATTAAGCGGCGAGCAAAACTTCTCATCTAGAACATTTAAGAACTGAATGAGCGTTATTAGATTTATAAAATTGTTTACATTGAAGATTGTAGAGTCTCTAGATTTTAACTCGCTGAAGAGTAATCTATAGGTATTACGGATTCGACACTTCCCACACCAACGAATGGCTATTTTGAATATTCAACCAAATTATACGAGATATTTGAACAATGTCTGTATGCAGTGGAATATATGAGACCTCGTACTGCATTATTACCGCCTTTGATCGCCGGTATCGACGTGCATAATTAGTACTTGTTGCCTGTATCAGCTGGGACTCCCAGGAACGGTCACGTACTCATTACTTGCTGCTGGGAACATGCGATAAGAAATGCTGCGGCGAATGTATAGTGCAATTATCATATATTTGGGAAGGCAGGTACGAATTTCCTATTGAGGGCAGACTGCAAATTAATCTCGCTCATAAATTATATAAATTAATATGTTTTGACCAGGATCAAGCTATACGAACATTCGATACAAAACTTACAGAGTGAAATTCACAGAGTGATAAATTTCACTGAAAATTAGGATTGACTGCTTTGAGCGCTCCCTCGCATGCAGTTAAAATCTAGCAAATCCAATTGCACTCTCTTCTGAATTTGACGCTATAAATCAAGCAGAATAATTATGATTTATTAATAATCAAATGTCCTAACTCTGTGCATGCGCTGCCAGTATGAAATTCTTTACAAAGAAGCTATTCTTATTTGACCAGAAAATGTGTGGAAATGTTATGAACAATATTCATATTTTGAGCTTGTTAATAAATAATTTCGCCTAATTGAAAGAGGAAATCCCGGTTAATTTTTGATATAAAAATGAGATGTCAATCTTGTAATGAGCTTATCAATGCACTTTTCTAGAGGTGCGAAGGTGCAACAAAGCTATTGATAAGCATTTGAGACATCATTTGAGCGACACGGTTCTTCAATAACGATCGATCATTTATAATTAAGCGTCATTTTATCATTTATCATTTATCCGAGTAACTCTATTTTTAATAGATCCGTACTTTCACCTTGCATGCGACCTGCGGTCATCAAAAAAAAAAAAAACTATCGAGAATGGTCCGGATTTTCCACGGCGTTGCTTGAGAACTCGGCGCTCGAAACAGGAATTAAGAAAGATCACGGAAATACCGGTCAGGAAATGACTACAGCTTATGCTTGGTGATGATGAGCTGCCTACAGATTGGGGGTTCTGCGTCATGAACTTACAATTAAGGCAATAATAAGCAAGCCCATTAAGGCAATACTGTCCTAACACGACAAAGTATACAGTCTGTACGCCATGACAAAACATACTCAGGACGCACTTACTGTATATGACTTTAAGAATAACCTATTTTGCATGAATGGGTTCTGTTTTGACAAACTATCAAAGCTATATAGACAAGTCTTCGTTAGCTACGACTGTTTATTATACTCTCACGCACACGACTACGAATTTCTTCATGTTCGGTTCTGTTCAGACCAATTTACAAGTCACTCACACAACCAAAAATGACACGAATTGATTCATGTGCAGGAAATAACAGGGAGTCGTTATTATGAAGAGTCAGTTGTTGTGTTAATAGAACTTAATTTAACCAAAACACTGATGTAAGTTACCAGAGCTCTAGAACGCTAAAATTAACTCTATTATGAGGAGTTAAATTTAGATATTTTTTCGCAATTGTTCACTTCCAACAAATCTTTAAGCTACAATTTTGGATGCAGAATCTACTAACATTTTCGCCAGTCCAAATATAATGCTACCTGGTAACAGCACAATTAATCTGAGGATTTCTTCACACAATTCTTCACTAAACCTTCGTAAAATAAGTAATTTATTATAAATAAGGCAAAAAAACTCACGCGATCATTGCCAGGATAGGAAAATCCTTCTCGGCGACACTAAAGCGTCCTAAAAGACGAGGCGAGCGAAGAGAAACCAAGATTTTCTTCATGATGTTGCACTTTTTGTTCACACAAAACTGAAAATTTTTCATTTCTTCGTGCGCGTGTGGAGACATGTTAGTAAAAGTACAATAAAAGATGTGTGCATCAAAATTATGCTAACTCTGCAAATAAATTAGTGATCGATGAAGGTATATTGTTTTTAAAATTCTAGACAATAACATTAAATTTACAGTTTACAATAATGTAATTTGATTTGAACATGGGTTTCCAGGTTGATAATGCAGTAACCTATAGCAGTAAAAAAATCTCTTTGATATTCAAAGGGGATCATCTCAGGCATATTAAGTACAACACGGCACACAAGAACTTGAAATAGCAATG